CTACATTAAAGGAGCATTCATTTCGTTCGTTTATCATAAAAAATGTAGAAATTACACCATTTTTAGAAACATGCTTACAATTTCATTGCTCTAGAAGGGCGGGCATTTAAATAAACTCCGTCCAGCTGCCCCTACCGGAAATTAAATGGCCCGTCCGATAAAGGTTAATGCAGTATAATCATTAGTTTTGAATGGGTGCAGAAGTTGTTTTGTGGTTTGTTGGATTATGATTCCTTTTTTAAAAATTTCATGTATGGCATTCTACTGTCTCAGTTTACAGACATGTGTGGTAACCTCTCCTGTAGCAGACCTTATTAACTCTTGTTTACATTATTTGTTGTGGGTGGAAGTTCGCCCTTTAAGGGGACGTACTCCATCAGGAAGCAGGAAATCGTGTTAGCATGCCTTGAAATGAGGCAGTCACCTGACACATATGTAGCTGTTTCAAGGCATTATCATTCCTGCTTCTAAACAGAGTGGTGTGCCCATTACCATTTCACACATACAAAGCCTTAAGTTGTCAAGGAATCTTGTGTGGCATCCTATGAGATGACTTATATCGATTTGTTCATTGTATCAGGATGGACATGTGTTTTGAACTGATGCTATCCTATATTCATCTTTTTGAGGCCTTGCCCCGCCCCCCCCCNAGCCTATCCACTGTTAATTAGATGCCTGTCCAGCCTTACAAATGTATAATTTTATTTAATTTAGAATTTGTTAAACGGTGGCAGTGCAACTTAATGTCTGTTGACTCAGACACCTCCATACACGCTGATGGACTCAGGCACACACCACTCAAGGGGGTGTGCTCTCTCTGGCCCTCCCTCCCCTCTGTCACAACTCTCACACCTACTGATTTAACACATCACTATATTGGGGCTTCAAACTTATTTCTCTTCCTGTTAGGATTTTTCATGTTATTTACTCTCATTTTCCAGGGTAATTTCAATGAACTTCAACCTGTACATGGTGAGGAGCGACAATATTCCTATGATGAGTGTGGAGATTCTTTCAGTCAAGAGCAAATTCTGATAGCACTTCAATACACATATAGTGGGGAGCGGCCATTTGTATGTAACGTATGTAATAAGTCATTCAGTCATCAGAGTAGTCTGAAGAGACATCAGCGCATACACAGTGGGGAGCAACCATTTTGCTGTGATGTATGTAATAAGTCATTCATTTGGATGAGTTATCTGAAGAAGCATATGCGCATACATAGTGTGGAGCAACAATTTTGCTGTGATGTATGTAATAGGTCATTTAGTCAGCAGAGTTATCTGAAGAAGCATATGCGCGTACATAGTGTGGAGCAACCATTTTGCTGTGATGAATGTGATAAGTCATTCAGTGATCAGAGTACTCTGAAGAGACATCAGAGCATACATATAAGTAGTGTGGATGAGCCAATTTGCTGTGATGTATGTAATAAGTCATTCAGTCAGCAGAGTACTCTGAAGAGACATCAGCGTATACACAGTGGGGAGCAACCATTTTGCTGTGATGTATGTAAAAAGTCATTCGTTCATAAGTGGAGTATGAAGAGACATCAGCGCATACACAGTGGGGGACAACCATTTTGCTGTGATGTGTGTAATAAGTCATTCGCTGATGACAGTAATCTGAAGAGACATCGGCGCATACATAGTGGGGTGAAGCCATTTTGCTGTGATGTATGTAATAAGTTATTCAGTATGCAGAGCCATCTGAAGAGACATAAGCGCATACATGTTGATGTGCAGTAAATCATAGAGCAGCAGAGATAGGTTTAGACTAAAGGAACTGTAATACAGTTTTGCTGTATGTGGCATGCTTCAATTTTGTAGAGTGCTACAATATATTGGGAGTTCATTGCTTTCGAAGTGACGGGAAATGAACTGAGTCCCATGGTACAAAACATCTGTGCAAATGAGTTCCATTTGATTCTGACTGCTGAATGTGCACAATGCCCTATCTTGTTGAGTGGAAACAGATATGACATGACATTATCCTACAGTGATGATGTTAATTCAGCACTGGAAGCTAGTAATTAGTAGAGTCTAGTCACTGAAACGGATCGACAGCTTATAAACATAATTCAGCAGCATCATATGCTTTTTGCTATAAGTTATCTGTGCTCTTCTGCCATTACATTTGAGTAAATTCGTTGATCAGTTAGTTTCAGATTGATATATCGCTTGGATTGAGTATATTGAGATAACTATTATGGATTGGTCGGATGAATACAAACTATGCTATATTGGACATTACAGACGAGATCTGTTTGCGGGATAATTGGTCTATTGATTATAAAAAGAAAGTTTAATGAAGGTGGGTTGCTTCTGCTTGTGGAGAAATATAGTAGTACTAAGAATTTAATTGAAATGATAATGAAAAACTTGCTTACATCTTTTCATTGTGAATATCAGCAGAGAAACTGAGCGGTCTGTCATGAGATCAAAAAAGAAAGTGGTTTGGCACTGAGACACTCCTTTGACTTAGAGGAAAAGAGTCAACTGAAAATTGTGAAGTAAGTTTAGTGTAATTATATAAAAAAAATAGGCAGTGTCATTAATATTGTCACGTGTTGGTGTATAACCCGACAAATAATTTCACGTCGTATTTGATATAGCGAATTTTATTTCACATTTGCTCTTACAATCACACAAATTACAATCTGACAGTTACTGCCATTGGCAATGTCACATATACTAGACCGCAAATGCTAGACTACCACTGAAAGATTGACTGCCTGGCTAACTCGTAGCTAACTCGCAACTTGAGAACTAACTGTGAATAGCCTTCGCTGCTCCTTATTGAGCCCCATTCCAGACAACACAGAAAACAGCCACTCATAGGCACCACTGTTCTCTGGTGCCGTGTTTTCAGGTGTTACATAATGGGTACCGCTGTTATTACCGTCGTCTCTTGCAATCACTGTTTACCCACTTGATTAGCAACCGCTGTTTACTTGCGTTGCATAGTGAACAGTGTGCTGGGACTTGGCTCACTTCGTCTCCGCTTGGCATGTCACAGCTGGCTGGGAGGGAGGGGCATCGTCCATAGTGCAACACTTAACACTGCTCCCTCCTTAACCTTTATGAGCTGAAATACACCGTATGGGAACCTTTAAAGTAAAGCCGAGTGGCCGAAAGATGCCGTATGCATATGCACAGTCCACGCATGCACACAGTGTTTTAAAATCTAATTTTAAGATAGAATTCCTGTTCTACTTACATTATTTTTGGACACCTGCTTTATAAGTAGACTGTCTTTCCTCCTGCGTCATCTAACTGAATATTGCCTTCGTGTGGAACTGTTGGAAACATCCAGAAATGCAGAGTCCAACGTCGCACTTCACGCATTTTGTCTGGATGTAACTTCGTTTCCTACGCAAAGAGCACACACGCCATCTCAATCTCGAAGTAGAGGAAGTCGGCCAGTGATGTCGAGAGGCCTTCTCTAATCGAGATATCGCTGATGACAGCAGGAGGTCGACCCATGGACTGTTGAGGGCGAGGTGGACCCCTTGCAGCATGTTCCAGCATGTTGCACACAGGGGCGAGACGAAATTCTCTGTGTGACAGTTTTGTGCCACAGGATGACAACAGGATAAAACTGTTCAGAATCGTCATATCCAGGAAATGGAAAAATAGTTTATTTGTCCATTTCCAGGTTCGACAACTGATGCTATAACTGTTTGCCATTCTGTCCACCTTGTGTTGTAGTCGTCAACAATTGCTGGCTTGATGGCATTTCCATGCTCATCACAGAAACTGCCTTCTGCTGGAGGACAGTGCATGTTTGTCAGTATGTAAATGTCACGTTTCTCCTTCCAAACTATTGCTGTCAAGTTCTGTCTCACCATAACACGAATGTCACCTTTCTTCATTCGAAATTGTCTTCGTCGAAAATCGTCAGGCAAGCCCTTCCGATTAGGTCTGACTGTCCCACAGCAAGTTATGTCTTTTGTCATCAGTTTGTAAAACAAGTCTGGTGACGAAAAGAAATTGTCCATGTACAGTTTGTGACCTACGCCCTCAATACGTCTGCATAGGTCCCTAACTGTAGCATGTTTCGCTGTCACGTCTTGGTCGGCACGTGTCCTGTCATTTCCTAGATAAACTTTCATGTCACAAGTATACCCAGCAGCGTCACAAATTTTGAAGATTTTGATTCTGAAACGTTTGTGTTTCTTAGGAATGTACTGCCTAAAAACCACCCTTCCTTTGAATTTAACAATTATCTCGTCTATGGCCAAATGTTCGGAAGGGTTATAATATTTTTCATATGCATCATTGAGTGTCGAAGATGGTCCGAATTTTCCATAGTCGGTCATAACTGTCGGCATTCCTGTCAGTTTTTGTATTGTTGTCTACAAAATGAAAACAAAGAATGTGTAGAAAACGGTCGCGTTTCATTGTGTTAGAGTAGAAAGGCGTGGCAAATTGTTCTGCAGTCGACCAGTAGTCCTTTAGTCTGTCTCTGATGTCATGTCCCATTTGAATGATTATTCCTAGAAACAGAAACATCTGGGAATCGGTCACGTCAGGCCGCGGAGAAAGTCCGTCTTGAAGTTTGTCTAGGTGCTGGTGGTAGTACCTATTCGTCTCTTCCACCAGCAGACGGATAATCCATGCGAAGTATAGAATGGAAACGCAGAAAGGGGTGGAATCCTTATTTACGTGTGGAGCTTCATTGATATTTAACCCCACAGCTGCACCGGAATAATTATTCATATGCCTCCTGCCATGCNATTGTTGTCTACAAAATGAAAACAAAGAATGTGTAGAAAACGGTCGCGTTTCATTGTGTTAGAGTAGAAAGGCGTGGCAAATTGTTCTGCAGTCGACCAGTAGTCCTTTAGTCTGTCTCTGATGTCATGTCCCATTTGAATGATTATTCCTAGAAACAGAAACATCTGGGAATCGGTCACGTCAGGCCGCGGAGAAAGTCCGTCTTGAAGTTTGTCTAGGTGCTGGTGGTAGTACCTATTCGTCTCTTCCACCAGCAGACGGATAATCCATGCGAAGTATAGAATGGAAACGCAGAAAGGGGTGGAATCCTTATTTACGTGTGGAGCTTCATTGATATTTAACCCCACAGCTGCACCGGAATAATTATTCATATGCCTCCTGCCATGCTGGTGTGGTGGTACCCAGGTTGCCGACGAAGATGATGGGTCTTCGTCAGCTTCAATTTCTGAATCTCTGTTTTCCTCGCCGCTCTCTGATGTTTCTGTGGCACAGTCTGAATCGGTGTCATTGAGCTGCTGGTTCTCAATTTCATTTTCTTCCAATCGAAACGAGGCCATGGTGGATGTCTTATTCACTACACAACGCGCTACGCTTGGAAGTTCTGGCAGTACTGTATGTACAGTTCAGAGAACGGTATCGCTTGTGGCTCCTCTCAGATATAAACAGTCTGAGAGTGTCAGGACAGAATACGAAGCTAGCATCGTCCACACTTGTGTATACAAAGAGGGACCAGTACTTGGAATGTGTTTTATAAACAGAAGCTTCCAACCCGCTTGCAGATAAGATGGTATGAGAGTACAAATGACGTCAGCAGCAGGCATTTGTACAGCAGAAACGTTTTGTGCAGAAACTGTATGCATATTTGTGGACATGTTCGAAATTGAGGGGATTGTTTTTTTTGAATCAGTGTAACAATTTTTACAGATTCTAAAACCTGTAAATTATAATATCTGATTCTATATTCGTTCTAGATAAAAGCAGCGTTTATTTCGTTTATCACAAAAATTGCAGAAATCACAGCATTTTCAGTAACATGATTACAATTTTTATTACTCTACAATGGCGGGCATTTAAATTAACTCCAGCCCGCTGCCACTACCGGAATTTAAATGGTCTGCCTCTTAAAGGTTAAGGCTGTTCGTCCCGAATAGCCTAATGGTGCACCCTCGTTCCTTTTCTTTTGAGGCTGTTCTTGCAGCATCTTCTTGTTTTGGCTACTCCTTGCAGCGACTATTCTCCTTCTGTTACAACCGCTCTCCTCTTAAGACCAGCTCGTCTCAAGCGGTTTCCTTTCAGCTCGCCAGAAGATCCAGTCATATCGCATTCATTCGTCGCACATTCAGCCTTGTTCGGGAGGCCGGTACTTCTACGTTATCAGCTC